TTGAGACAGGGTTTCTCTGTAGCTTTGGAGCCTGTCCTGGAACTAGCTCATGTAGACTAGGCTGGCCTCAAACTCACAGAGATCTGCCTGCCTCTGCCTCCCAAGTGCTGGGATTAAAGCGTGTGCCACCACTGCCTGGCTTAAAGTTATTCATTTATAGTTTAAAAAAAATAACAGAGTCTAGAGACTACTTTGAAGGAGGGAAATAGATGGAATACAGAGTAAATCTTATAATTAATGCCAGCAATAAAAAAAAACTTATTTTCAGAAGAAAGATGGGGTGTATGTTGATGTATAGATGTAGAGTTACAGTAGAAGTAATGACTCACTAGATGTGCACATGGAAGGGAGGGAGTTAATGTTAGTACCTGAACTGTGAAATCTTTTTTCAGGTGGGGATAGCAGTGCAACAGAAAGCTGGGATGAGGAGCTTTCTCCTTCCACTGTGTTGTACACAGCAACACAGCACACACCTACAAGCATCACCTTAACTGTTAGAAGAACCAAACCCAAGAAGCGAAAAAAGAGTCCAGAAAAGGGTCGTGCAGCACCAAAGACGAAGAAGATTAAGGTATGCAGTATAAAAATACCTTGAATAGAAGTATGTCTGAAATAGCTCAAATGTTTGAGCAAGAGTATGGGGGTTTTGGAGGGGGTTGGGAAATTGGATGCCAGTGTTTGGTCACTACTCCCCCTCAAAAAACAGCTGATCTATGTTATGTAGAAACAGACCGAGCTCTCTTCTCATCATAGGCTCAGTTTCTTCTACTCCAACTACCATCACAGGTATGGAATTCCAGCCCTACCTGGTACAATCCCATGAGTTGTAACTTCAAGTCTAAGCTTCCACTGTCCTTACAGCATCTCCCTACTTCTCTGCCCCAGAGCAATCTGAACTTCTTTTCTTGGTTATATGACTGGCCTCATGTCATTAGGTTTATTGTTTGTCCTTGTAGCTAGACAAGACAACCCCAAAAATCAGAAAATATCTCTTGAATGGTCTAAGTTTCCTTAGTGTCTTGGTCACTTTCTTATACTCTTAAATAAAAGGTCTCCAGAAGAAATCTTTAGTGTTTTCTATTCTTTCTTTTCCATCACAGCAACTTGGTTGCTCCCAGGTCACTTGCCCACCCTTTGTAAAGGGGATTGGTCTTTGTTTCCTTCTTAATTTCAAAACTAGTAATCTACAACTTTCTGCTTGGTGTCAGGGGTCTGTTTAGTATTTAAGTGGTGCATGCTCTTATCTATTAGTTGTCTAGTTCCGAAGTATTGGAATTCATATCTGTGTTCATTAGCCTTCGAATTGTTCTTTTTCTTGATCATAGTTTGCAGTATAGCATTATATTGGTTACACAGAGTAGACGAGACAGCTTAGAGTACTGGTTAGTGCCTTAGTTTTAGTCTCATTGTCATTCTTGGTACCAAGTTTTGTTTTGTTCTACTTGTTTTCCTCTTTGGGATAGGCATTTCAAGAGGGATCCCGGAAGTCCTTGCGGATGAAGGTAAGGGGTAACCTTCCCTGATGATGTGTTTTATATTTGATCTTGCATTTTGGTAGGTTTCTTTTCTGACATTGATCTGAGAATCTTGTAGTCTGCTTTTCATAAATTTGTAATTATTGCCAGTCAGTTTTCATAGAGCTTTTCTCCAAAGTGGATTTTCTTGGCTATTTTATGAAATATTTTTACATTTTTGTTTCATTAGCTGGCTTTGTTGGTGGTGGGGTAAGTTACTTTTTAAAAAAAAAACAAAACAAAATAAGGCTAGTATGTACTATTTCTGTCATTGGATTCAACTTCAGGAGTGATGTTTTTCTGCTGATGACCCAGGCTCTCTTTTAAATGCTCCCAGTCAATATGTAGGCTCTGATCACCATTTGGAAGGATAATGCCTTAGCAGGAAATTGTTGTTGTTAATATGAGCTAGTCTTGTTGAAATATCACTCAGCATATCTGTTTGGTGGAGATTTATATGATACTAGTTATCAAATAGTTGGGCTTATGTGACTTTGTGTGTGTGAGTGAGAGATTGAGAGAGAGAGGGGAGGTGTTGGAAAATGTAGAAGTAATGTCCTTTTTAGGTACTGGCTGGTTTTGTTGTTTGTTGTTGTACTGGTGGTTTTATCAAAGTTAACAGAAAGGAGGAAAATTGGTTGTACTTTCTTGTATCTTTTTCCCTGTCCACATACAAGCTCTCATACCTCCCAAAAATTTAGGATTCAAGATCTTTAGTTTAAATTTTAAGTTGTAGTTTGGCTCTTTTAAGTATTCATATTCCTATGTCTTAAATTAGCCACTATATAAACAGTGACTAAGTTAGGATAAACTTAATGGGATTACTTTATATTTATTTGGAGCACCAGTTGATGTTATTAGTGATATCAAGTGACATTTTACCTGACATTTGGAGGTCTAGCCTCTTGTTTGAATAGGAGGCAACTTTCACAACCACGGAGTTTCAGAGGCCTGAGCTGTATTTTGTAAAATATTTATAACTATTTTTTTTTAATGAGATAGATCTCTGCGAGTAGCCAAATTTATTTTAACTGGTCATTTCGTTTTGTTTCATTTACTAAGAAGGATCCTACATAGAATTTGGGGGCTAACTGTAGACCTCAACTGTAAATCCTTTTTTCTATTATCAACTAATTACTAGAACTAACTTCAGAGTTTCAAAACCTTAGAAAGCCATCTGTTGCTCTCAGAAAAGCTCAAAATAAACTGTTACTTTCTTTAGTTTCAGCTCACTCTCATGGGTATATGTTAAAATCTAAATAGAAAAAAAAGGGTTTTACTTTAATTATTTTAAGTTGGGCTATTAAGTTTTGTTCTCACAATTAATGAGAACTTTACTAAATATCCAGCTATTAGCTAGGAGAATGGATAGAAGAAAACAGCATTTGAACTCAAAGTCAAGAACTTTCATACTAGATACCACTCTTAGCCAGTAGTTTGGAGACAGCAAGGTGACTAAACAGGTAAAGGCACTTTCTGCCCAGTGTGACAGCCTGACTTTGATCCCAGAGATCAAAGTGGCAGGAGAGTTTTAATTCCTGCAAGCTGTCCTCTTACCTCCACTGGAGTACTGTGGCACATGCACATTAGTAAAATAAATCTTAAAAATAAAACAATAAAGTTAACCGATGTTTCTTCAACACATTTGGAGAAATAATTGGTAGATTACATAGAATGACAATACATTATTCAAAGTACATTTAGTAATGTTCCCAAATTGTAATTTTTCTTGTGGGTGGGTAAGATTATGAACTAGTATTGCTAATGAAATTAATAGGTGGTATAAAAACAACCATTCTTTTAACACAAAGACAAACCATTTATAATGCTATTCTAACACAAGTAAATATTAATCCATTTTGAAATTTTATGCACTAAAACAACCTAAGATCCTTTTTGCTTTTTTGAATTTTTTAGGAATTTGACATAAATCTTGATTTTAAAAAAATTGATTTTCATGACTTAAATTGATCATGAAGCCAGTAAGTAGTAGGTGAAAATACTGACTACATTAAATTCTCACTTTATAAATGGGCAGATAAGTTTTCTCACTTGAAGTTGTTCAAGACCTCACAGTTCATTAGTAACAGAAGCCAAATCTCCTAATTCTTAGTCCATTGCTCTTAAAACCACACCAGTTGCCAATTGAAAACAAGTATCTTGCTTATCCTGCCCCCCTCCATATTTCTGAATGATCTCTTACTAATTCACTTGATTTTTGTTCTCTACAGAATTCTCCCTCTGAAGCACAGAATTTAGATGAAAATACCACTGAGGGCTGGGAAAATCGGATAAGACTATGGACTGATCAGTATGAAGAAGCTTTCACTAATCAGTACAGTGCAGATGTACAGAATGCCCTTGAGCAACATCTACATTCTAATAAGGAATTTGTTGGCAAACCTGCTATTTTAGACACTATTAATAAGACTGAACTGGCCTGTAATAATACAGTAATTGGTTCACAAATGCAGGTAAGAACTAAAGCATTAAAGACACTTAAAGATCGAGATTTTTTTAATACCCAAAGAACAAGAATGAGTTAGAATTTTAGCTCCTTACAGAATAATAAATGAACTACTTACCTGCTGATCATCTTTGTCCAAAATCAGATTACAGTAACTAAACTGTCTAGGTACATATTTTAGAAATATTTTTATTTAATAAATGGCGGCGGAAATTTCTTATGCAGCCTAGATTGGAATTAGAAAAGATTTATTAGAAGCTAATCTAAGTAGATACATCTCTCTTGCCATTGTAAGTTTGCATTTTCTGAATCACGAGTTGGAACATGTTTGTTTCCTGGAGAAATTGATCTATGTCAAAATGAAAATTTTCTGATATCCAAGCTATAACACAGATAAAACCTGAAAGTGTTGATGCCTTTTCAATAGTTGGAAAACATTGTAAATGCTGACCACATTGCTGTTACTCTTCTTAAATGTTAATGTTCTGTTTTTATTCAGTTACAGCTGGGGAGAGTCACTCGTGTTCAGAAGCATCGGAAAATCCTGAGAGCTGCAAGAGATTTGGCTTTGGACACTCTTATAATAGAATATCGTGGGAAAGTCATGTTACGACAACAGTTTGAGGTCAATGGGCATTTCTTCAAAAAGTAAGAACATTATGCATTGAGCACTGAGGGCTTGCATGGTTCTGGCTGACCAGTCAGTTATTCTATGAAAATCATCTTACTTGATGGGCTGCTTCTAAGGAAAAGCTAATGATTCAAATAAGCCCATGCCTGTCTGTCGTTGGTACTTTTGAAAGGGCAAATAAATCTGCAAAATGTTTAGTGTGTGAAGTGGTGATGACTCCTTTCCAAGCCCAGCATTCTTTGCTTTGTGTATATTCTTAAATGAAAAGCAGACAAGTTTGTGGTGTATTCTAGCTTAGGCATTGCAAATGACTATTCCTTCTTATGTCAGCATATGATTCACGTTTGTAGTCGTGGGGTGGCCTTTTATTTGTGTTGAGAATTACAGGAATTTTAATTGTATCCCTAGACCATATCCCTTTGTGCTCTTCTACTCAAAATTCAATGGTGTAGAGATGTGTGTGGATGCTCGTACTTTCGGTAATGATGCTCGGTTCATCAGGAGATCATGTACACCAAATGCAGAGGTAAGCAATCTTTAGCAACATCCCTTTCAGTGGAACCACAAAGGACACGTTTACTGAAGAAACAGTCTGAAAACTTCACCCAGATAAAGGTCTGTAGCTATTAGTTGTATGATCTTTAAATGCAGTGGTGAATAAACAGAAGTGTAGTGCCATATGGAAATGGGAGAGGGACATTGCTTTAGAGAGGATAGAAATAAAAGGCGCGTTTGTATTTGCTAAGATTTAAAACAAAATGGATAAGAAGTTTATAAATAGTACTGGGAAAAAATAAAGTCCCTGTGGTGGTGGTCGTCATTAGTCCCAGCTAAGCCATTTGTCTTCACTTTTCTAGGTTATGGAAAACAGTGTTGAGAATTTCTAGACATTTCTAAAATTCATTATTTGATGCATTCACACTAAGTGCAGTAAGATTAATAGCTTTGTTTGCAGGCTAAGAAATTGTAATTCTCCAGCAGAATGCAAATGATCTTTAAAATAGAAAACAATTTTACCCTGATTTCTAACATTGTTGGCTTTTTCTCTTTTGAAGAAGTCTAGTAGATTGTTTGTTACTATATAATAATTTCAAATGAAATGATAGCATTAAATAAAATAACAAGAGTACTCAAAATGGGCAGAAATTATTTGGCTCACAAACTTTTCCCATTTATGGAAAAGTTGGTCTTAAAGGCAAACCTAATGATACCTTGTTCACACAGGTGAGACACATGATTGCAGATGGGATGATTCACCTGTGTATCTATGCTGTCTCTGCTATCACCAAGGATGCTGAAGTCACTATTGCTTTTGATTATGAATATAGTAACTGGTAAGACATCAGAAACTTTTACCAGCCTAAATTAATGACATTGTTAGATTTTTAACTCAAGAAGTCTGTTTTTAATTCTTCACCACCACCACCCTTTTGCTCTGCCTATTCTTTTCATGAGTAATGTATTTTCTGCCTAGAAGTTATGTAATCCCAGCACATGAGAGGCAGAAGTGAATCTTTATGAGTTCCAGGTCACCCTGGTCTACATAGGGAGTTCCATGCCAGCCAGACCTGTCTCAAAAATAAAGCTGTAGGCTGATTTGGTGGAGGTTTGCTTTCGTTCCACTTCTGTACATAAACTACAAGAGATACACAAAGAAACAGAATATTTACTGAAAGTATCATACCTATTCTATGTTATTCAAAGATAACAGAGGAAATTTCTACACTAATGTTTTAATAAAATGAATGAATAATATGCCATAATGTTTTCTTTTCATGAATATTGAGACACTTTTGGTTGTTTCTTTGGCACAGTAATTACAAAGTGGACTGTGCGTGTCACAAGGGAAACCGGAATTGCCCTATACAAAAAAGAAATCCCAATGCTGCAGAATTGCCACTCCCACCTCCTCCTAGCTTTCCCATTATTGGAGCAGAGACCAGACGTAGAAAAGCGCGGCGGAAAGAGCTGGAAATGGAGCAACAAAATGAGACTCCAGAAGAGAATCATAACCTACAACCACAAGAAGTTCCAGAAAAAGTAGCTGTTTCCAGTGAGCATGAGGTAATCTCCCTGGCCAAGTCAGGATGTCTGAACTCAGGTTGCCATGTATTGTTTTAGAGTCATTGTACTAAAACATTTAATGTTACTCACATCAGCATGAATATACTTACTTGAGTTTTCTTTTCCCTTTATAATATTAAGAACTATGAGACCACTCCGAGGCATGGTAGTACATGCCCTTAATACCAGCCCTCAGGAGGCAGAAGATCCAGCAGTCAAGGCTTTTACTCAAAAAAACCCTGTCTTGAGAAACAAAACATGAGATGTGTCCCAGAACGAAATAAAAGACACTAATAGTAGAACTATCCTTTCAAGTCCTGGTACGGTGATAACACACACAAAGTCCCAGCATCTGTAAGGCTGAAGCCGGGTGATCATGAATTTGAGGCCAGCTTAGGCTGTGTAATAAGGCCTGTCTCAATAAATGTACAAACAAAAATAAAGCATCCTTGGACTCATAGCCCATCTACTTATCATGCATAAGGACCTAGGTTCAATTCCTAGCTTAGAGCATAGAAAGGCTTGAAGAAGTAATGATGCCAGAATAAAGCAGGTTGATGTTGCTTGGAGCTTGAGTATGATCTAATAGTGTTTCTGTGTTAAAGGAAGCTGACAATCCAGAAGAAAAACCTGAAGAAGAAAAAGATGAGCCTACAGACGACCAGGAGAATCCAGCTCATAGCAGGAGGGTAAGTCTCTGCATTTCTCCTAACTCTAGGAGTTTACCATAAAGTAGATATCATTGTGGTTTTTATTTTTCTATTTGTAGGCACACCCTCAGTAGTTTATGGTAATTATCTGATAGTGGTTTTAAGATATTTTCTTCTAACAGTTGGATTTCCCTAAAACTTGGCTGCAAAGACCAGAGTTTGTTGGATTAGTTTTCTTGCTTTGAGTTTTATATTTAAAAATAAAAATCAAGTAGAGCTAGTGATAGTAAAGTTGCACAATATGCACAGGGTCTTTAGTTCAATCCCAAATTATTGGGAGGATGGGGGGGAAAAATCACATCAGCTGAAGAGACGGCTCAGGGGGCAGACCGCCCGACCGTTCCACCTGAGGACCCGAACTCGATTCCCGGCCGGGCACCACATGTAGTTCCGTGACCGTCTGTCAGCACCGGCGACCTGCAGAACGACTCACACACAACCTTCCACCGTCCACCATAGATCCACTTAGAGTAGTAGGCCAAAAAAAAAAAAAAAAAACACCTCTGTTAGCCTTCTATCTCCATGACAGACATGTTTAAGAAAAACAACGTAAAGGTAAAGGAGGCCTGGTCTACTTGGGCTTAAGTCTCACAAGTTTCAGTTCAGGTCTACTGGATTAATTGCTTTGGTAACAAGCAGAAATAGGACAGCAGGAGTCCATTGCAATAAAAAATTACTTACCTCATTACTACCAGAGCAGAGAGAAGGAAAGTGTAAAGGGGCCAAAGACAGAATATACCCTTCCAAAGCACACCTCTAGTGGCTTGCTTCATCCAAGTAGGTTCCAGTCCTTGGGTTTCCACAACCTCACAATAGTAATTACCACTTGTTCCAAGCCTTTGGGGAGCATTTCATATCTTAGCTATAATAATTTTTCTGTCAAATGGTTTAAAGAAGTTTGTTAATTGTGTTTGTTTGTGGTTAGAAAAAGCTTAATGACAATTTGCTTTCTTTTTGAGCTCAGAAAATAGGATAGATATTGGTTGTGGTTGACTTATGTACTAAAACCTATCAAGGTATCTCAGCTGGTTTTAAAATTTTTAAATTTTGAATTTGCTTTATTTTATAATTGTTTCCTATATTTAAAACAATTTTAAAATTTTGTCTTATAGTTCAATAGTACATATGCTTTCTTGAATAAGTTGTTATAAACTCCACTAATAGTTACTTATAAAACACCTGTACCTGCTTTTGGTTGAACCTTGCTTCTTTTTTCAGACTCGGGAAGATAGGAAGGTTGAAGCCATCATGCATGCTTTTGAAAATTTAGAAAAAAGAAAGAAACGACGGGATCAGCCTGTAGAACAGAGCAGCTCAGACGTAGAGATTACTACCAGCAGTTCAGAGACAGCCGTTGGAGAAGAGACAAAAACTACAGCTCCTGAGGCTGAAGTTAGCAACCCTGTTTCAAATATTGCCATCCCAAGCACCCCACAGAGCACTGGTGTGAATACAAGGAGGTCTTCCCACACTGGGGTAAGAGAAAACTATGTTAGTAGAAATGTCTACTAACATTAGTTGTCTTTTTTTTAGAATGGTAAAAATTAGTATTTTCAACTTGGCTCTGTATTAGAAAAAGTAAAGCCATTTTGATCAGAGCAGCTGATTTGTGGGGTGCAAGTGAAGTCAAAATTTGATTAACAAAAGGCTGCAGCTCTTAATTGTCTCCCAGATAAGCAGGGTGGTGAGTTCAAGGATCATTTGGTTTGGGGACTGGGTTTGGTGTAGCTTAGTATGAGAATGTGTGCTGAACATGCAGAAGACCTCACCTAGCTTTATCTCCATCCCCAAGGGAAGAAAGCAGATTGTTGGTTTCTCTCTTGGAAAGTCTAAATGGCCCAGTTAACGTGCCTGGCCTTTCAGGGTCTTCTCATGATAAGCCTGTCTGTTTCTTCCCTGACCTAGCAACAGTAAGGCTTAACATAAAACTTGGGTGTAGAAAAAGAAATAGTAATTTACTTTCCTGCTAAGAGCCTGTATATTAGGTAGCTACTTTTAACTGACTTCTGATCTATTTTTATGTTCTATTTGTTTATTAGAATTAGAATTAACTAAGCCAGATGTTCATCTGCAGTCTATTTAGGTGATATTAATCGATAAAATTTTGCATGTAAAGATTACATTTTAAAAATATTTTTGCTTTGTGACAGGGTCTCACTGTATAGCCCTGGCTGGCATGAAACTTGCTTTGTAGATTGTGCTCACTTTGAACTCAGAGTTCTGCCTGCCTATGCCTCCTTAATGCTGAGATTAAAGATATGTGACACCCATTCCCAATTCAGATTTTTTTATTTTTATGTGTGAATGGTTACATGTGTGTATGCATGTACACATGTGTGTGCCTGGTGCCCACAGTCAGAAGGTGGCATTCTAAAACTGGAGTTAGAGGAGGTTGTGAGCTACTATGTGGGTGCTAGGAACTGAAACAGGTCTTTGCTGCAAGAGCACCAAGTACTGATAATTGCTAATTCATCTTTCCAGCCCCAAGGATTACATTTAAAATGACAATAAATTCTTTTTCAACATTATCATTTAGAATGCTTTAAATAGACTAAATAAGAAACAGGTATGAAATTTCTGGTACTGGTTAAGAGGTGGCTTGTCTAATCTCAGCACTTGGAAATCTAAGGCAAGAGAATTGTAAGCTAGAGGCCAACCTGCAAGATTCTTTCTGCAAAAGAGAAGAGAAATTTCTAGTAAAATTTGTCTCTGATGTTGTTACAGGATGTAGCTGCAGAAAAACCAATCCCCAAACCACCTCCAGCTAAGCCTTCTAGACCCCGACCGAAGAGTCGAATTTCTCGGTACCGGACCAGTTCAGCCCAAAGACTAAAACGCCAGAAGCAGGCCAGTGCACAGCAGGCAGAGCTTTCACAAGCTGCCTTGGATGAAGGAGGAAGTAACAGCTCAGTAACTCCTCCTGAAGCTGGAAACATAGACAGTTCAGGAGAGAACAGACAGTTAATGGGGTCTGAACCAACTGTGGTATCAGCTACTGGATCTCATGTCATCCGTGCTGCGTCTAAATACCCTAAAACCAAAAAGGTAAGTGACAGTATAAGTCAGGTCAGACAAGGAGTGTCTTAGTAAAATAAGAGTATTTGTAGTAACTCCCCAGAAAAGAAATAATCTTAGAATTATAGATTGAACATTCTAGATAAAAGTCATTTATTCTGAAAGCTGAAACCATCCTACTTACTTTTTGTTCACTTGATTTTATAGACAGAGCTTAAATACTGGTAACTGAAGGTGTTTTTTCTTTGTGAACACAGAGAGGGTAAAGAAACCATACATCCTCATGATGGTTGTTGCATCTGTTCTAGTTTTTAGATGAGGTTTGTCTTTGTGAGCTACACTACTGCACCTTATGGCTGTTACGTATTCAGTGTTAATTAATGATTTGTTTGTTTGTTTTTAACTTTAGTATCTAGTTACAGAATGGTTGAATGACAAAGCAGAGAAGCAAGAATGTCCTGTTGAGTGTCCTTTACGTATCACCACTGACCCAACTGTGTTGGCTACAACCCTCAACATGCTACCGGGTCTTATTCATTCCCCGTTAATTTGTACCACCCCTAAACACTACATTCGCTTTGGCTCACCCTTTATGCCTGAGAGGCGTCGAAGGCCCCTTCTGCCTGATGGCACATTCAGCTCCTGTAAGAAGGTATGTGTGTGCATGTGTATGCTCACCTTCTGCGGATGAAAATGTGTTATAATACTAAATGATGCATATAGTTGTGTATTTTACATAACTAGCTGCTCGTGAGTCTCATGAGTGAGAGCAGAAGGCAATTGATAGAAGGGATGTATTTTGTAAATGGTTTTATGGTACTGGTTAGCATGGCCATTTGTGATTATTGTGTGATGTTGGGCCCCAAATATTTAAAGCACTGATGTAGCCCTAAAAATGGCTTATGATTGTAGCTAAGTAATCAATCACTATTACTTGAAGCAGTTTAGAGAAAAAAATTATCTCATAATTGACATAATTCCTGTTACTTGATCAGATAACAGTGGGTTAGACTTCTTGTTCCCTAGAGATATGGAACATGCTGTAAAAGACTGTCTGCCTTTCTGTGACTCTCTAGTTAGGTCTAGTAGCAGCAGTATTTGGTAGTTGTTTTGGGAATAGATTGTTCTCCAAACCTATAATGCTTTTCAGAAACATAGGACATACTTCATTAGTTCTTTCTATAGATAGAGTTCTATTCCCTGGAATACCCTTTTCTCTAATCCTCAGATCTGGATTCAGGCTGCCTCCCTCAGTGTCTGTATTGCCCTCCTCCACTGGCACCACATTCATGAGGATGCTGCATGTAGCTTATTTGATGTGATGAAGTCTCCAACTCCAGGCAGGTCTTCCCTAGTTCCTCTAAACTTAAAAGATTTTCTTTTTCCCCAAGAACATAAGTTATATCTTGGGATCTGGGAAAATGAAGGATCAGCTAAAATGGCATAGGATGTGGAAGGGAGGACAACAGGCATCTACATAAAGAAAGGGCAATGCTGCTAAATCATTAGCACACTGCAGAAGCCTTAATTGACACATTCTACCTAAATAACACACTCACTTGTTTTGTGTGTCAGAAACTTCCACATAGAAGAAATTCTGAGATATTTGCCACAAGATCCTTATCAAAGGGATTTTGCATGATGCAATAACATAAGTAACTTGGTGTCATAAATAGCAATAATTTTCAAAAAGCTGTTTACTGTAGGAGTTTTGTCTAGGTAATGTAGGAGAGTTGAGTCTCTACAGAATTTGCTTATACCAAGTCATTCAGATCGACTGACTTGTCTTGGATCTTAAAGATATTATCTGAAAAGGAAAGTGGTTTGCTGTACAAACCAATGGTCGTTGTTATGTAGTGCATGCCTGTTGTGTTGTATTCAGAAGGCTGAAGTAAGATTGTTGTATTGCTATCCCCTGCTACATAGCAAGATCTTGTATTAAGAAAACCAACAACAACAAAAAATAAAACATGATTTACTGGCTATAGTTAGTGGTAGAACTCCTACGTATATAGAATGGCAAAACTGAGATCCAGTCTGCCTACCTTGCTCAATTCATTAAGAGTAATAGCAGGAAACTGATGTAATGGTTAAGTGGGCAAACATTTGTCACCCATTAACATGAATTCCATCCCCAGAACCTAGGTAAAAGTGGAGGAAGAAAACTATTCCACAGCATTGTCCTCTAACATCTACATAGACATGAATATACACAACTAACATCTGCATAGACCCATATACACAATTATAATGTTGAGTATTTTGTTATAATTTTTAACTTTTTAGTTTTTCAAGACGGGGTTTCTCTGTGTCTTGGAACTTGCTCTGTAGTCCAGGCTGACCTCAAACTCAGAGAGATCTACCTGCCTCTGCCTCCCAAGTGCTGAGATGAAAACCATGTGCTGCCACCACCCTGCTTAACTTTTTTTTTTCCTCCTAAGGAACAGCAGTATCCTAACAGCTTTTTTGACGTGTGTTTAAAAGCTAGAAAAGAAAGATCCTATCTCTCCCTAAGGATGCAAACTCAGTTAGTGACCGGGGGTGTATTTTCTTTAGTGGTACTAGGCACTGTACCTGTAAATAAATCCTAATTTGAAACTCTTCTTAGTAAGTTTAAAAGTAAATAAAAAAGAAAATAGACGTCAGGTTGGTTACAAAAAAAGATCAGCAAGAGTGATAAGCGCATGTTCATAATTATTATGGATGTATATGCTAAACTCATGAGACCCATTACTATATATAGTTCAAATATGCCAAGAAAAGCACCTTTTTAAAAAAGACAGTCAAGATGTAGGTGTAGTGTAAAACATTTTCATCGAGCCAGGCAGTAAAATCTATTAAGAAGAGTTGATGGGGGGCTTTGGAGAGATGGCTCAGCAATCAAGAGTACTTGTTGCTCTTGCAGAAAACTCGGCTTCAAATCCTAGCACTCTCGTGGTGGTTCACAACTGCCTGTAACCCTGGTTCCGGGGGATTTGATGCACTCTTCTGACCTGCATTCAGTCATATACATACACATGTACATTCAGGCAAAACACTCACATAGAAAATAAAGTTAATCTGCTTGATTTTGTTTTAAGGAAGGTTGATGGTAATTTAGTAGAGATTAATATAAAGATGTAAATAATGTAGACTAACTATTGAAATGCTTTTTTGGTAATTGCAATATGGGATTGTAATTTTTTTGTTCTTATCTTGTTTTTCCAGTAAACAGAGACCCAAGCAAACAAACAAAAAATGTGTTTATAACTGACTTATATTCGATAGAAAATCCATTTGAGCTCTTGTTTTTGTGTGTTTTTTTGTTTGTTTGTTTTTTGTTTTTTGGGTTTTTTTTTTTGGGTTTTTTTGAGACAGGGTTTCTCTGTGGCTTTGGAGCCTGTCCTGGAACTAGCTCTTGTGGACCAGGCTGGCCTCGAACTCACAAAGATCCGCCTGCCTCTGCCTCCCGAGTGCTGGGATTAAAGGCGTGCGCCACCACCTCCCGGCTTGTTTTTGTGTTTTATTACTATGTGTGTGGGCAGGTAGTTATCATGGGGAAGCCAGAGGATAACTCTCTCACCTTTATATTAAATTCAGGTTGTCAGATATCAGCAACAAATATTTTTACCCACTGATCCTTCTCATCAGCCATCCTTGAGGTCCTTTTATCTGGATATGCTTCAAATTTCGTTTATTTATTTACTTTTAAAGATAATCTCAAAATAATGCTATCCTGGAATTCTGTATAGAACAGGCTAACCTTGCTCAAACTCATGGAGATCTGCCTGTCTCTGCCTCTTGAATGCTGGGTTTAAAGGCATGAACCACAACACCTAACTTGGTTCAACTTTGATATCTATAGTATCTCCATTGCCAACAGATAGAAAGAAATTTAATTTAACCGAACATCATATTATATTCTCCAAGACTCTGTGACCATCCTCAGCCTTGGTTGACCTCCTCCCCCACACATACACACCTTTCGTTGTTGTTTGGTTTTTTTGCACAAAGAAATGGTTATGTTCCTTTTTTATGAAGGCAATAATTGTGTTTGGCCTTAGAGGTAGGCCTAACAGCATCTTACTTCTCTGTTTCCTATCTAGTTTTATATTCCCTCTTTTGTAGTCTTAAGATCTAGAATGTAAACTCTTCAGTGGCTTCTAAACTCTGAAAATTTTTTAAATAATTTTTTAATATTCTTTAATTATTTAGGGAGAATAGGGATCTTCAAATTTGAGTTGTCATCTCCTTTGTATGGAAAAAATAAATTTGTAATAGCTTAATAACTTAGATACTACAAATAAAACCTTGTATATTCATAATGAAGGATTTTTCACTTGTACTCCCAGGCTAATTTTCACCCATCTGTGAAAAAGAGTTTTAGACCAAGATAACCTCAGAGGTCTCCTATACATTCTAAGGAACTGTACTTCTGATAATCTGTGTGTTGGGAATCTGTATGAGAGAGCATGTCACTCTCATTCTTGGCTTTTAGACACTTTGTCATGTCCTAGAATATTAATGTGATTTAAGTGACTCCAGATACCTTTTTTTAAAATATTCTCATTTACTTATCTCTGTTTACTTTTTTTTTCTTGAGTTTGATAGACAACAAAGATATTTGCATGATAGAGGTTTTTTTCATAGTAAAATTTCACTGGATTGTCTCAGGTTCTAAGAATTGAGCAACCACAAATCTAGAACTACTCTGTTGAAGAGACTATTTATTTAGGGATGGTATATGTTCTCTAAAGATGTGACATTATAATAGTTCCCCTTTTCTATTTGGAGACAGTCTGGCTAAAATTGGTGTTTACTGTAATTGGATCTGTTTTCTATCAGGGTAGAATGGTGAGCAACTTACAACTGTTTATCTTAAGAAAACAAAATTACAAGCCTGGCGGTAGTGGTGTAAGCCTTTAATCTGCCTGGCTCTGTGCATGGCAGAGGCAGGTAGATCTCTGAGTTCGAGGCCAGCTTGATCTACAAGAGCTAGCTACAGAGAAACCATGTCTTGAAAAATAATAACAACAACAAAAAAGGGAAGAAAGAAAAGAAAAAATAGGAAAAACAAAGTAAAATTTCTTATACTCTTATCTTATAATTTCTGCAAGTTTTCTTCTGACTTTATTTTTTTCTCATACATTCAGATTGCATATTATCTACTTTAAAAAAGTAACAGGAGGGTTCTTTATAAACTTTGAAAAGTGTCAGCCTGTCTTTAAACAGTAATGCTATCCTAAGCAGTGTGCAAAGTTGAGTGGTTACCATTTTTTATTGATAGGATACCATTTTATAATCCAGATTGTTTCATTTTTGCCTAGTAGATAAAAGCTGACTTGACTGTGAGGGCTAGGAATATAACTTGGTAGGTAAACTGCTTCCATTGGCTCAGTCCCTAGTGCCACATAAACTTGGTAGAGTGGTAGAAGCCGGTAATTCTAGCTTGGAAGGTGGGGTGGAAAATCCTAAATTCAAGGTCATCTTTAGCTGCATAGCTTGCTTGAGGCTAGCCTAGGCTGCATGAGACATTTCAAAAATAATCTTCATTAAAGAAAAGGGACAGGACTGCTAAAGCCAGCCTTGGTTGCACACCCAGGAACCTGTCCAAAAATCACTTGACAATGAAGCTGTGTGAGTGTATTTGTATTGCATTTCTCACCAGTTGTGTAGTGATCTGGTTAGTTCGCTGAAACAGATGTCCTACATAACTTTAAACATTTTTTTAAAATTTTCTGTTTTTCTCCCCATTATAGCGCTGGATAAAGCAAGCCTTGGAAGAAGGGATGACTCAGACATCATCTGTGCCCCAAGAGACTAGAACACAGCAACTATACCAAAGTAATGAGAATAGTAATTCTTCTAGTATCTGTAAAGACAATGCAGGTATGTATCTGATCTTTTTATCAATTTGACGTGAAACAGTTACCATTTGAGGTGCACAGTAAAAATTTCAGTGTTGGTACTCTGATATAAAAAGGAATAGTGTGTTCTCTAAATAGTTACTTTACATCTGTCTTTACAGAGGAAGAGAGAGATCTCGAGTCAGGGATCAGTTTTCCCAGGACGACAAAGAAGGAACTAGACAGTATACAGATAACAGCAGAAATGGTTATAAAAAAGGTTAGATACGTTTAAAGTAGTAAGTTTAGGAAATCTTTATTTGTATTTTGTAAGGGGAGGCAGTAGAAAGTGGTGGAATGCTAATGTTCAGGAAGAAAATGAAAATGTAAAGTGACTTGTTGGGTGGAATCTGGCTAAAGGGGCTGGAAATAATGAGATTATGAGGAATCATTTTTGATTTTTTTTTCAAGGATTTGCCCCTAAGACATATTAAATTCCTGAGATGACTTGGCTTTAAATCTTCTGATCCATTGTCTTTCACCATGTTTTATTGCAGACCTCTAACAGATAACATTGGTGCATTGACTTATGATACCTTTTTGGTTTTGTACTTACTGCACAAGGTTTCTCTGTTTAATCTAGGCTGGTGTCAAATTCATCCTCCCCAGTGCTCGAATTCAGATATGTACCACCATCTTTGTCTTCACATGTTACTTAGTTTTTGTTTGTTTTTAGTCATACTTTCTCCTTTTTTGCCAAAATTTTGCAATGTCAGCATAATTAGTATGTCCTTGGGATGGGAGATTGTCACTCAGTGATGGAACATGTACTTTTAGCTTTTGTGGTGCCCTTGTTTCAATCCCTGACTCGGACAAAGAAATAAATAAAATAAACCATTTTCTATGATTTCCATAAGCTTACCTCAAAATCAGTTTTCTGAATATTATATAATCAAAACATACCATAAACAGAAAAGTGGAGGAAAGTAAGACAAGGATGATTGCTGCAAGTTCAAGACCAACCTGGGGTACCTAGCAAGACTCTATCTCAACAGAAAACAAAAATTACAAAATATATTAGTTACTACAACTCATGTTAAGGCTACAGCTAATATAATTTTTCAGAGTTTTGCTTTATATTGTTTTGGGGGGTTGTGAATTGCTCTTTTTAAACCACTATTTGTTGACTTGCTGATTATTATGGAGTTTAATTAATAGAATTTTACTAGTTCATCTACTGAGTCAGATTCAGATTTGATTAAACATGATTTTTGAGGCAGATTTCCCTCAATTGTGTCAACTTTTAGACAGCTATTAGAGTGTAGTTAGAATAGCTGAATTGAATTATAAAATGTGACTTCCTCTGTTGGGTATGTTGTGTAGGTATATAGATAGTTAATCTCAGAAAACAATAACTATACAGCAGTTCATTTTCTGGCTTCCACATACTTAGAAGTTGTCTTTGTTACTACATGTTCTCGGTGGAATAGAATTAGCACTGTTAGTCACCAACCTTTATTATATTTCTACCTACATCCTAGCAAGCAATGAGAAACATCTCAGAATACACCTTGTCCTTAAGGATCAGTATAAACAGAAGAAAAGAGTTGCATAAAGAAATCCATCAGTAGTCATCATTTAAATGTGGTGTGAGTCATAAGGAGTTACTTTGTGTTACAAAAACCTTTGTTTGCAAGAATACTAAGGAAAGTTGATGAAGAGGGTGAGGAAATATGTGATACAGTAGAAAAAATCAAACAGATCTTTGTTTGAAATCCAGTTCTGTATCCTTAAACTGTATGATGTTACTAAATGTCTCTGATCGTCATCTGTAAAGTAAGAAGAGCAATCCCTGCTTTAAGGCTAATAAGCTCAGTAGTATTATTTATTTATAAAGTGCTTAGTTTAGTATCAGACCCATAATAGAAATTGCTGCTGTCATTCTACACAGAATACTCGTTCTTGTCTTAGAACTACCTAGATTAAAAATAATAAATTATTCCTCTGGTGTGATTGCGCCTAATGTGTAATCCCACTAGTCAAGACTGGTGAGAAAGTCTGGTTTTGAGGCCAACCTGGTCTATATAGTAAGGCTGTCAAAAGGAAAAGTCAAAGGATGCTAGAAACTAAAATTGTATAAAAAGAAGAGGTATTACCATCAACACAGGGAAGAGATATGATGTTTGTTTGTAAATAACATTTATATGACCCTAGGGATACCTTAATAGTAACCGAAAAGATCAGGGCTAATAACAGTTGAGTAAAATCCTTGGTTAGAAGTAGAGTAAATATGACTTAAATACTAAGAAAGTTAATGAAGACAGGTTTTTCAGCCTCAAAGTTAACAAAGCTAAGAAACAACCTGGGAATGGTCGTACTTGGATATGTGATGCAAAAAAAATGTTATTGAAAATACTTTTTAAGTTTACACATAAAGGAAATTCCGTATTCACTAATGGAAAGAATAAATTCTGTGCACCCATATTCCCATATTCTTTCTCCTCCAACAGATTCCAAGGAAGCATCATTTAAAAATTGGATTCTAAGCTTATCTAAAATTTTTCAAATAAAACTTGGAAAGGTAGTAATAAAGTGCTTTGCTAAAAATACATAATTACATTCCCTGTGACCATAATGGCTGAGTTATAGCACATGTTTAAGAGCAAAAGAGAATATGGAACAAAACAGCTAGATTAGGGCTGTGATATAGGGGCATGGTAAATTGCTCTGGAGTTTTCAACTACTTGAGAGATTGTTAAATGATTGAATCCTTTGCCAATGCAAGTTCTAAGTGCATTAACATATTTTCTCTTACTATTTTTGAGTCATTTTTGTTTTGGTTGATTGGTTTTGATATGTTTCAGTTTCTTTTTTTGAGACAAGGTTTCACTATATAATCCTGACTAGCTCCAAACTTGCCATCTTCCTTCCTTAATATCCTAAATGCCAGATGGAGGTATGTACCCCCACACCCAATACTTTAATTCAAATAGTATTAACTATTGTTTCTGTGGTCCTACTGTCTTTGAGTTAATATAGTAATAAAATGATTTTCAGTAAAACAATAGAAAAGCAAGAGCCAGGTAGTGGTTGCCCACACCTTTAATCCTCAGGAGGCAGAAGCAGGTGGTTCTCTGAATTTGAGGCCAGCCAGGGCTACACAGAGAACCCTGTCTTGAAAAACCAAACAAAGGACAAAAACCAATCTGTTCAGATTCATCATATGCTTTAAAAGTATTTATAATCCGAAACTTGATAGTTGTAGGTACTTTATAAAGATGAAGACACTAAATAATTGTGTACAGAATATTCATAATTGCTAATAGTTGCATAATTACATAGACAAATTTTTAAAAATATAAACTCCCAACTGATTAAAGAGTAATAGAATTTGTCATTTTGAACTGTGTTCACCTACATGAGCTTGATGAAATAATATATATTATCATTAACATTTAAAGAAGTATAAGAGTTTGTGTGTCTACTTGTGTGCACACGTGCACTTACACTTTGTAGTTTCAAAGGACATCTTGCAAAAATCAGTTGTTTTCCTTCTACCTTGTGGGTCTTGAGAGTTGAACTCAAGTAATCAGCCTTGACAGCAAACCTTCACTTTCTGGGGCATCTCATGGGCCCTTTTAATTTTTATTCTTGATTTGAGGTCCTCACCCAGTGGTAGTGGTAGAAAGCCTTTTATTTGATCTATGGTACCACAATTTTTTAAATAGTTTATACTTGATTAATTTTATCAAATTGATGTTAGGTCAGGAGAAAGCATCACTGTGAATTAGATTTACTCACCTTTTTGAATCTACAAGAGGTTTAAAGGATGTTGTATATGACCAGGTCTCTTAGGAATATAAAGTTGCCTTGATAAATTTTTTTTTGACATTTGAAATGGAGAAAACAACAGCCACTCATGAAATTTGATAGTGTCATGTGTATGATTGTTTAATGAATTTATCTAAAAACATTTGCCAGCTGTATTTATTATAAAAACTAAACTTTTAGATGAGCTATCTGGAAATGGTGGTATATTCCTTTAATCGCAGCACTTACGTCAGAGGCAGGCAGATCTCTTGGGTTGGAGGCCCAACTGATCTACAGAGCATGTTCAGAACAACCAGGACTCCACAGAGAAACCCTGTCTCAGGGGTAAGAGGAGTGAACTGTCAAAACTGGAGAGATGACTCAGTGGACAAAAACACTTTCTATGCAAACGTAAGAGGCTAAGTTTGAATTTAATTCCCATCATCCATATAAAAAAGCCAGGCGTGGATTAGTATTCCTGTAATTACCACATTAGAAAGCAGACATGGGCAGATTTCTGGAGCTTGCTGGCTAGCCAGCCTAGCCAAAGCAGTGAGGTTCAAGTCCAGTGAGAGACTGTCTCAGGGACAAGGTGGAGACAGTAGAGTAAGACATCTATTATCCTCTGGCTTCTACATGCAGGTGTACACACCCACCCACACATGGATTTGCATACATACGCCACACATTCCACAAACCACCCAAAAATATGAATTATCAAGTTACCCCACTGCTTTGTTATTATTTATCATATTCCAGAGTTTTTAGCTATAAGCATACTTCCCTCTTTGCAAAGGAAAGGGGGCGTAAGTACTGGTAAAAAGGGATGAGTGCTGTCTTATTAAAGTAATAGAGTTATGTACCAAGAAAAGTAGCAGGAAAACTAGTAAGCCTCTATAGATTGGCTAAATACAAAACCATTATGTAAACATAAAGATGGACAAATGGAGAAGTATGTCCTATTCCTAATTGTAATAAAAAGTAAAGAACAAGCCAGGTGGTGGTGGCACACACCTTTAATCCCAGCACTCGAGAAGGAAATGGATCTCTCTGAGTTTGAGGCCAGCCTGGTCTACAGAGCAAGTTCTGATGGGGGAAGGGGCGAGAGAGAAAAGAGAGAACTGGAAATCAAGTCTCTCAATGATGGGGTGGGTGGGTTTAAAACTTGATTAGTCAAAAAGGGTCATGAACTGTCAATAATGAGGTTGCTCACTAAATTACAATTGATTGTTGTATCAAAACCAAATAGTAGTCAGCTATCATTTCCAAGAATATCAGTATTGCTAGATGTGGTATTTGCCTACAATCCCATCACTGGAAAAGTTGAGAAAGGAAAGTCCTAAGTTTACAGCCAACCTAGACAAGCACTACAAGATCCTGTCTCAAAGGGGATGGGGGTGTTAATATCAATTCCATATTGTATAAGAAGTAGAATAACTTTCAGAAACAAGACCAGTATATTTAGAAACCAATAGAAATAAGCTAGGGGAACATTGTAGCTTAGTGGTAAAGCACCTGCCAGAAATATACAAGGACCAAAAACGTCTATAACAAAGAATAGTCTAATGGAAATAAATGTGTTTAATTCAGGGAAGAAAGATTATAGCTGTTTTTGTTACAAAAGATTTGCAAAGAAGGAAAAAGCAGGTGCGCAGTGAGATGGTGTTGTGGAGACAGGCCACAAAAGCACAGGCCATACCTGTAGTATGCTGTGCTATAGAAGTCCTGCTTCAACAAGGGGAAAAGAGAACAAACTCCCAAAACCTACCTCTGGCCTCTACATAGGTGTAGAGTATAAATGGGCACGTTTTTTTTTCCTTAAGTATAAATTTGGTAAGGGATATAGCTAAATGTATAGAGTGTTTACCCAGTATGTATGGGTGTCCTGCAGTTGAACCCTCAAAACAAGATAGTGTGGTGCTTTGCACCTATAACCCCAACACTTGGGAGACTGTGGCAGAAAAATTGCCAACAGTGAGTTCCATCTCAGCCTGGACTACATACTGGGCCATGGTAAGAACCTGCTCTCAAACACACATAAGCATACTGAGTTACAGACTCAATATATTGAGATCATTTAAAAAAAAAAAATGAGGACATACTGCCAAACATGAGAAGTTGGGCGCAATCCCTGAGATCCACATGGTAAAGGAAAGAGTCAACTCCCCAAGTTGTCTTTTGACTTTGAAGTACTCGACATTGCATGTATGCATCCGTATACATTTAAACATGACGTGAGATATTTTTTAAAAGCCAAATAGGAATTAAAAATTAAACCTAAAGGTCATAGATCAATAAGTAACATTTTCCTAGTTTTAGGGATAGAATTGCAAAGACGTAATTGTAACAGGCAAAAGATAAATGACAGATACATTAGCTAATAAAAGCATTGTAGTAAAGACAATAAAAACTTTTTAGATTTATGTTTTGCCTATACCAATCATGTACATACACCACATGTGTGCTTAGTGCCTGTGGAGTTCAGAAGAGAGCATTAGATTCCCTAAAACTGAAGTTAGAGATGGCTATGAGCTGCCATGTGGATACTAGCCACTGAACCTGGTTCCTCTGCAAGAGTAGCCAATGCTCTTAACCACTACCAAACAAGCTGAAAAGGTATGTTTGTAACGTTTTTGACAGTCAACATCTTTATAGAACTCTATAAAACAAGAAAAAGATCCACATACAATGTATGCTGAATATGGGCAGATAGTATACACAAAAATAAATACAAAGGTAGTAAATATATGTAAATGTGTGGGTGTTAATCATGAAGAATGAGGAGAAGGCAGTCAGCAGTCTTGTTCTATAGCTCTTGGGAGCTATTCGTTTGGAAACATCCTCTTGCTTAATAATCTGCTGCTAGGCTGGTGACCCGCAAGCCCTAATAGTCTGGTCCTCCTCCACCTCCAGAGGTTACAGACAAGAGTACAACTATATCTGACTTTTCAAATTGGTATTGGGGATTCAAACTCAGATTCTCAAGTTTGCATAGCTCCCAGCCTCGTAGTCATTCTTTAACAACAACAAAAAGCCCTATATTTGTCCTAATAATAAATACAGAAAAAAAGGATAGAAAACAACATTTTTAGTCATTGAAGTACATTTATAATTGCAATGAAGGGGAATATTTAGTACAGGTTAAATTTTGGCAATATTAATGTCATTTACTCATTTTTAAAGGGTATTCATAAATTAGATATGGTAGTGCATGCCTGTATTTCCAGGTTTTGGAAGTTAGGAGAAGGATGCTAGTTTGAAGCCAGCCTGAATTACATGGCCAGTTCAAGGTCACTTCAAAGTAAGACCCTATTTCAAAAGCCCATGCTAGCCCCCAAAGAATGAGACTTAGAAAATTTTATTCCTTATTAGAGAAATTTGTGGGAAATCATACTTGCATATGTGTGGGTTTAAATGCATGGTTGTTTGTTTACATAATCTTGGGAAGTATTGAGTCAAGGTTTTTTTAAAAGATGAGTGTATGTGTGTGTGTTAGACATAAAATTTGACAACTGTATACAAAAAAATCAGAAAAGAGATGACAGACTACTGATCTGTGAATTCCGGCAGTCTCTAGGTCTGTCTGGGGATAGCATCCTAAGTGTTCAGTAAATATCTTTAAATAGATATCACATTCATTCATTTGTATGGCCGCTTTCTCCAACTTTCCTACAGTGATCTTTAGTAGTTAAAATTTTTGAACTCCCAGTACAGGGTTCTTAAAGATTTGGTTCGAAGTCTTTAGAAGTATTTAAAAGTCACTGTACAGATTAGTCTTGAATTACATGTTTGGTTTCTGTACCTAAACACATTAAGAATAAAACAATACATGCTATATAGGGCAATTGGAAAGTTACTCTTTTCAGTATAGGGAAATGAAAAATCCTGAGAAAACAGAAAAATAAATATCCTATCTACTTAAACATAATTAGTACCTCATACCTCTTTGTATTGGTTAGCGTGTTGAGTCCAGTAGCTTCACAGTTCTAGTTCCATACCATTATATCAGCAGAGTGATGTTCCTAAGCACATCTCTGATCATGATCCAAACTTTGCCTTGGAAGCCTGGTGTGATTGTCATTGTTTCCACCAACCCATGGGGCTGTAGTTTAGTATGCTTTTATTAAGCCTGTAAGGCAGGATGGTTACAGATGGAAGCTCTGTTTGCAAAAGCTCCCGTCTAGGGTAACTTGATCTCCAGTACCATATAGGCTAGGGAAACATGGACCGGGTGCTACAACATCTAGTTTTTCTTTCTGTATATTAGTCTTCATCTTCAGTATAGGGTGATGATAAATAAAAAAAGATGGATATATGTGTGACAACCCAGCAGGTGGTAGTATAGAAGTAGTTTCTCTGGGACTTAGAATGCTTCCGAAGTTACATTCATTGTAGTGATTAGAAGTATGTTTAGGCATTGGATTTGGGTAGAGAAGATAATGGGATGAGGCATAAGAAGAGTTGTGAAGAAGGACCAATTACAGAACCTTTGCTACCTAGCCTTACAGTAAAATATGATTCAGTTCTCATCCAAGTTTTGTGTTTCACAGACTTACTGAGCCCTTTAAAGAAATGGAAGTCTCGCTATCTGATGGAGCAGAATATCACCAAGTTGCTTCGGCCTCTGTCTCCAGTTACACCACCCCCTTCCAGCTCAGGCTCAAAGAGTCCCCAGCTGTCCACACCTGGCCAGACTCACCCAGGAGAAGAGGAGTGTCGAAATGGATACAGCCTCATGTTCTCACCAATCACATCTCTTACTACTGCTAGTCGTTCCAACACTCCTCTGCAGTTTGAGGTGATTGGGGTTTGGTTGTTGGAAGTGATTGATATGAAAATCATTATTTATACTTCCTCTTCATATAATATCATTTCAGGTGTTTCTTAACTGTCTTCCTTCATCTCATTAAGAAAACCCTAGGGTTGGACCACTGCAAATTTATGAGATGATTTGTCTTTTGTGTGTGTGTGTGTGTGTTTGTGAGTGTGTGTGTTGTGAAATTCATTAACATGCCTATAAAGAAAACTATATTCACTTGAACTCTGGGGAAAAGAAAAGAAAACCTAGAGTCACTATGTGGACTGATAGCTGGTAGCCTCTTGCTTGGTAGCCCCTGTTCTTGCCAAAATAGGAACAGTGCTGCCGAGATCCCATTCATTTGTCTTTTGGCATTTAGTCCTTCAGTCTCCTTAATTTTAGGTAGTAAGTATGCTAGATCTTCATCTTTATACGTATCAGTCAAAAGAAGTGTTTAGGTGCCTGTGGTACCCATTAGTTTCCCATGCCTGGGCACTCAGACTGAGCTGTAGGCTCACGTCTATGTGCTTAAGACCTTTTAACTGTATAGTGTCTTTGCAGGTTCTTTGGTAGCTCCACTATGGCCTCAGGGGACAGAGACTTAGAAATACTGGGGTATGGCTTATGGTGAATGTGTTTGCTCTTTTTGTTGTTGCTGTTTTGGTTTTACCACCCAGGTTACTTTCCCTCCTTGTTATAATGTGTTAGGACTTAGAGATAGACTAAAAGGCTAGAAGCATGCTTTAAACGTTGGATTACGTTAGAAGTATATGTAGTAAACTGTTTCTAAAAGTTATACTCAGTCACTTTAGTATTTAAGTTCAAATGGAAGATGTGACTACAATCCATGTGTATTAAAACCCATCTTTTGCATGTGTATTGCTTTAATTAAATAGATACTCTGTGATGGGGGGCAACTTGACCCACCCACTTAAAAGTCTGATTTTCTTTTCTCTATGTGTTGTCTTGATAAAGCTGAATGTCTAACAGCCACACTCTTGTTGAAGCTTTTATGAGTGTGTAAGGATTACTAACACTTGGATTCTTCTTTGACTAATGTAAAAGATCTAGCAACTGTGAAATCAGAGCAATGTCCTCTTTTTCTAACTCAGTCATTATTCATTTACTATAGAGCAAACATTTCTGGGTGGGAAAATGTCATCCTGGTTTACATTTGATTTTTCCAGTGAAATTATATTCCACTGTCAGCTCTTTTTAATCAGATATTAAAGCAGAATTTAGACCATTATAACTTTTTCTGCTTAACAATTAAACTTTCAGTTAGCAATTAGAATTTCATGGTATAGTATCCTAAAAAGAAATTGTCCTTGGAGTGCAATCAGTTATAGAAATAGAGTTGCACCTTATCATGGCAGGTTAGGTTAAACTTCATTATTAACGTTATAATTAATGAAACTAGAAGTCTTCCAAAACAAGCAAGTTTATACCCAGTACATTTCCTATCCCTTGCTGCATGTAATAATGATAAAATGCTATGTAAATGCAAGATCTTTTAAAAGAGAGAAAGAACATGGGTTTTGGTGAATCTCAGTCTAAGCGTACAGTTAAAATACCAGGAAACAGGCTGGCTCAGCAGTAAAGCTACTTGCTACCAAGTCTGACCACCTGTGTTCAGCCCAGCAACCCACATGGTAGAAGCAGAAAACCAACTCCACAAGTTGAACCTCTGGCTTCACCACAGAGTCATAAAATAAATAAATAAAAAATTTTAAACATTAAAATATAGGATTTAAAGACATGGCTCAGTAGTCAAGAGCTTCTTCCATTGCCAGCACCTTAATTGGGTGGATTCCAACTACCTGTAACTCCAGCTCCAAGGGATGGAACTCCCTCTATGCCTTCCTTAGACACCTGTACTAACATGCCCAGACACATACATATATATTCACGTATAATTTTTAAAAATAAGTTAAACTATTTTAGGGGCTCAGCGATTCAGAATAACTGATGTTCTTGCCAAGGACTGGACTTTGATTACAAGCACCCATGTAGTGACTCATAACCCTCTAACTCTAGTTCCAGGGATCTGCTACTCTTTTCCACAGGCACATGGTGCACAGATATACATGCAGGTTTTGGGGGGGGGGTAAGGCAGTGTTGCCATTCTCACTATTATAAAAAACAACTTCATCCAGACATGCCACTCTTTGTCATCATTCTGATAGCGATGGTTTTTTCTACATTTGAGTACAGAAAGGTTGGTTTGCAAGCTTTTTTCATTAAAACTGTGATACGGCGAGTTGGGCCTAGGCCATACATTTAAAATCCCTCAGTTTGAAGACAGCTGTTAGTCTAAAAAGGGAATAATATATTGAAAGGTGATACAATCCGAAACTTAACTACTGTATTGTTCTTCCAATGTACAGTTATTTGGAAGGAGAAAGTGTTGAAATAAAATTTTCTGTTAAAAATTTTAAAAGTAAAATAAAATACAGGCTAGAGTGGCTCTAGTTAAGACCTCTGGCTTTTCTTCAGGACTCAACTTTGAATTCACAACACGCCTACGTGGCCTCTCCCACCTATCTATAATGCTGGTCTTTGGGGCTCTAATGCCCACTTCTGATCCTGCCAGGTACTGCACGCATGTGATTACACAGACATGCAGGCAGGCAGGCAGGCAGGCAAACACATAATGTAAAACTGGAAAAATAGGAGACATACATTCAGTGTATCTAGTACTAAGTCACGAATGAGCTCTTCAGGAAGAGAAAGAATCTAGAGGAAGAATAAAAGCAACTTGAGAGAACAATGCCCACTTAGCCTTGCCTTTCCCTTCTGGTATGCTCTCAGGTGCATAGTTATAGTTCTAGTGTGTCTTGAACATCCAGCACCCTCCCACTCTAAAGCATTTTCTCTCCAAACCTTGTTTTGCTGAAGCAACTCAGTATATCCTATTATGGCATGGCATATGTCTGCTATCTGGGCCACAGTTGTTGACAGTCTATATATTGAGAACCCTCCCCTTACTCCAGACCCTGGTATCCTGAGTTCTTGTTATAGCTGCCATCATCACTTTCCTGTTGTCATTTGCATCACCCTATCAAGAGGTCGCTGTTCAGTTCCCATGCTAAATGTCCTATCCAGTATAGGTCACAGAACAAATGAACATATGCATAGTATTTTTGTTGGTTTTTGTGTGTGTGATGGGGGGGAATATTTTGTTTTATTGTGGTCCCTAAAATACAATGGATTGTAACTCTGGTAGGGACGTTCAAGTCTAAGAGGAACTGGCCATCTCTCTCTTCTGTTAGTTCCTAAGTATTCCCCTGGATAATTCAAAATTGAAGCCTGAAGCTAGTAAGGACGTGAAGAAAGATGATGATCAGAGGGGGTATGATGAGGTAAGGAACAGAGTTCCTCTAGGAAGAATAAGGGTTAGGGTACTTTGACCATTCCATAAGAAACCCTAAGTCCTCAAAAAAATTTTTAAAAGAAAAGTTTAACTCTGTAACATTTCACTTAACTTTCCTGAGTCTACTTAAGGTGTTTACTTACAGCATGAAGCATTATACCTAATTTTCCTTAAGTGCTTTCCAAGACACCAGGTCCTGTCTCTAAAAACCAGCCAGTGATGGTGCAAGCCTTTAATCCCAGTACTGGGGAGGCAGAGGCAGGCGGATCTCTATGATTTGAGGCCGGTCTGGTCTTCAGAGTGAGTTCCAGGACAGTCTCCAAAGCTATACAGAAGAACCCTGTCTTGGAGAGAGAGGAAAAAAAAAACACACCAGGAAGCATTTAACATCACTTTGTCCATGGAGATGAGTTCTACAGTTAAGCATTTCCCCTGTACATTCTTAACCACACCTACCCCCTCCTCCAAAAAAAAAAAGTTGTGACTAACACCCATGCTCATCTTTCTCTTATGTAGATGAATAACAAGATGCTTTTCCCTCCTCTAGAACTCTTACCCTGAGGTAAGAGAGTAAGAGAGTTCTTACTCTCCCCTATGCATAGTCATAAAGGTAGTTATCACACAATCTCAGTCACACATGGCAGCTGAGAGTGAGTGCCTGGATGTGGTCCTGAATGTGTGGAAGAGCTGGGAATTTGAGTGAATGGGATGGAGGGCAGCCATGCATTCACAGCAAGTAGATTGAATCTTCTGTGTAGCTGTGAAAGTAGACCAAGGAAAATTAAGTAGCTGTATATTTGTTGTGGGGTTGGTTTTATTGCTGCCATTTGGGAGAAGCAGTGGCTGAAGAGTTTGATTAAAAAAGAAAATCTTCAAAGGCTGCAGATTCTGTGTGCTATCAGAGCCTTGTTAAAGAAAGTAATGAATAATGTCTGCATGTTAACAAGGAAAGTAGAGTTGGTAGGCGCTATCTCAGTATTCATCATGCTGGCGACTTATTTTTGGGCTTAAACTGACAGCTCTGCATTAGGCTTTGGGTGATAGTTGAGCAGCTACCTTTGGGAACCCAACTTTCTTCAGCTTTCCTTCATCTTTTCTAGAGTTCCTTACTGTGTGTAAATATGCAAGGAACCTTAAGCCCATACTCTGGGTTACAGGCCCTCTGTTCTCCAGTGTCTGGGATATGGTTGCTATACAGTAATTGATACCTCTTAGGCTATCAATGAGTGCATTTCTTGGAAACCCTTCGGTTGTAAAGATCCTAAATTCAGATTTTAGTGTTAGCTTTTATTATAAACTTTAGACAAATGTGGTAATTATTAACCCTATAAATCTACATGGGACCTTTTCCTCTTAAAGAGAAAGTTATAATCTCTATCCTTTAGAAAGTAACTAATTTTTAATCCCACTCTCTAAAATAATTAGGGCCCAACTTTCTGAGAATTAACCAAATTCTGAGTCAGTGGGATTTTCTATAGATAATTAAGAAACTGAAAAGATTGTATTCCACTAGTTTACTGTTGATTTCCTGGGTGTTGGGAAAGTGTAAGTTGTTCTGATCTTGGTTGCTACAGATTCTAGTATAGCAGGGATTTGATACTTGATGTGGTATTTGAATTTCTGGTACCTTCTTTGTAGGCAGTTGAACTAATAGAGGAAATCTTGATGTTAGCGAATAATAGTAGGTGGGTTTTATCACAGGTGTGTAGTGATATTTCAGTGGTAGGCATTAGCAGTCCTTTTATACATTGGTAGACAGCAGAGGACACAACAAAAAGAATTGAGCAGACAGAAAGTTGCATGAGAAAAGTTTACAAAGGACAGGTTGCTTGCTATCTTTAGTGCTAGTCCTACTGAACCAGTAATTTACATGCTTGACTTTTTAGCCACCTTCCCTCACCACCTTCTATTAATACTAATTTAGTAATGTAGAACACCAGAAACCAGCAATTTAAGACCCTTTTCTGTTGTTCTTATGGGTTTCTCATATGCCCCTGACTGCACTGCCAGCCCCCAAGTGTGTTTCAGTTGGCCAGAGTGACTATGTTGTCCAGTTGCCTGGTGCCCGCTTCCCCAGTGTTCTCATGCAGAAACATTGAGATTTCTTAGTAGTCTGGCTTGTGGGCACTTTTCTTTGCTCAGTGGACTTTATACATGTTAATGGGTCTCTCTGATGCTTTCATCCCTCCCCTTGTACACCTGTGCCCCTTTACCTCCCTTTCTGCACTTTGACTTTTTCCTTTCTACCATGCCCTATAGCTCTATTGATTTTTATCCTTTCAGCTTTGTCACCGAAAAGACCTGGATTTGACAAAAGTGGGATACCCAGACTCCAGCGCTCACAGCTGTGCTGATAGACCTTCCCTGCTCAACTGTAGTCATCCGGACCTGACTTCTCATCCCTCTGTTGTTCCAACCTCAGAGGCTGGCTTCTCAAGCAGGAGTGGAGATGGCCCTCAGACCTTGCTTAGAAACTCAGACCAGGCATTTAGGACAGAGTTCAACTTGATGTACGCCTACTCCCCTTTGAACGCTATGCCTCGAGCAGATGGACTGTATAGAGGGTCCCCCTTGGTGGGGGACAGGAAGCCTTTACATTTAGATGGAGGATATTGCTCCCCTGCAGAAGGCTTTTCCAGTAGATATGAACATGGTTTTATGAAAGACCTCTCTCGTGGATCCATGTCACCTAGTGGTGAAAGAGCCTGTGAAGGAGTCCCATCTGCTCCTCAGAACCCACCACAAAGGAAAAAAGTAAGTATTCATGTTTCATAGGACCTCTTTTAAAGAATATTAACCAGGTTAATTCAGAACTTTCCAAGCTCCAATGTATAGCTTGTCCTACTCTCTGATGTGATCTGTGAAAAATTAGGTCTTTTACTTAATTACATATACTTCTTTGGTTTATGTGGGGTGTTGTGAGGCATGAACATGCCAAAGGAACATAATGTGGAAGTCAGAAGATGACCTGTGATGGTCAGTTCTCTCCTTCCACCATGTGGATCCTGGGGCTGAACTTAAGTTGTCTCTCAGACCCTGAGAAGTAGACTGTATTAGTATAGCTGTAAGTGTGAATAGCCAAGAGGCCTGAAGTGTGTGGTCAGTAGAAGAGTACCTGTGTAGCATGAGAAAGGCCTTCCATCTCCGGCATCCCAAATACAAATAAAGCAAATACTTTAGCATTCTGGAGATTGGTGTGGGATTGCAAAGCTGAAACCATCCTAGGCTTTTTAAACACAAAAAATTTTAAATAGCTGACCTATGCAGCTGAAAGGCAAGAACACTGGAATATCACTGAAAGCTGTGTTACTTGCAGAATTCAGTTTGGGTCACAGTTTTAAGACCATCAGATGTGTTTTCTCAGACAGATGTGGTTCAAATTTATAATCCCAGCTCCCATGTGTAGAGTTGAGGCAGGAGGATTGAGAAGAACTGGGCCAACAACAAAGGACTCAATTTGAGTTCCCAGCTCCAGGGGTTCTGCTGCCCTCTTCTGGCCTCTGTGGACACCCACAGACAGACATGAGTTGATTTTTTTTTTTTTTTTTTTTTTTAGAGAGAGCTCAAAGCTAACTTGAGCTACATAGAGATCATGTTTTGTTTTCAGTAATTCATTTTGTTGTACAGTGGTTGTATAATTAGGGAATTTCCCATTTTGAATGTGAGAAAACTAAAGCAGTAGTTGAGTAACTTGTCTTTGGTGACAACGCTAAAAAATGAAGGAGTCAGGGTACTACACTGATTGTTATTCCAAGTTTACATGGTCTAGCTGTTAATATGCTAGATCACCTCCTAGATTCTGTGCTCATGGAGCTTCACTGGAGAATAGCATTAATAAATCCTGAACTATGGTGGTCATAGTTGTTCCAGAGAAGTTGTTCATATCTTAAATCTCCTGCGCAGTGGGTAGTTTAAGAATGAACAGGAAGTCTTTATTTATCTTGAGAGGTAGGAATTGAGAACTGGCAGGTTTATCCACATTTCAAGCAAAGAATACAAATAAACCAACAAATCTAGGTGAGGATGTTATTGTACAGTCTGTTGGTGACACTGCACTGGGTTGCAGATGGGTACAGACAGTTGACAGTAGTGGTGATGCCAGTGAAAACCAGGACCCAAATTCAGAGCTCAGTGGGTAGACCAGACCTTAGAGAGCTTGTCATGGGGTGAGGCTTATAAGTCATGCCTATTCTCAAAATCACAAAACCTAAAATCTGCCGGGTGCTTTTGTTTTTTAGTCTGTGCTTTTGGCAGTATTTCAGGTTATCATAGTGACTTGGGTATAATTTTTTGTTGGGTACTAAAAATGCAGAGTATCCTGTGTGTAACATTTTCATAGAAAAAGGTGGTTATATAATCACTGAAGTAGAGCCTTGTGATGCCTGGCGGTAGTGGTGCACACCCAGCACTCGGTTGGCAGAGACAAGAAGATCTCTGAAAGTTCGAGGACAGTAGGGCTACACAGAGAAACCCTGTCTCAAAAAACAGGAAGAGAGAGAAGAGAGCCTTGTGACTTTATTTTAATTACAGTAGTGTTCATTATCCAATTTATTAACTTCTCTCCAAGATTTTTTTTAAATACTTATTTATTTATTATGTATACAATATTCTGTGTGTATGCCTGATGGTCAGAAGAGGGCACCAGACCTCATTACAGATGGTTGTGAGCCACCATGTGGTTGCTGGGGATTATTTTATATAAAAATTTTACATAGGCTATCTTTATGGTTATTTTGTGATTTTTCACACTTTAGGCCCAAAATTAAGAGCCTATATGATAGGAAAAGGAAACACTGACACACAATAAGGAATAAGATAGTGATGGGGGCTCAAAGCCTTGCATGAATAGTGCTGACTTAACAAAATACATAGCATTGAACTGTAGGGATGACTCAGCAGTTAAGAGGACGGCTGCTTTTCTAGAGAATCCAGATTTGATTCCTAGCACCCATGTGGCAGTTTTCAGCTGTCTGTGACTCCAGTAGTTCTAAGGGATCCAGCATCCTCACACAGACCTACATGAAGGCAAAAACACCAAAGCATATAAATGTGCCAAGTTTTTGTACTGAATGTTATCAGTAAAAAGCCAAGGAATGGGTGACTGGAGAAATGGCTCAGCAGGTAAAAGCACTTACTGGTTTGTCACAGGATCTGAGTTCAGAACTTAGTACGTGGGGTATCTCACAAACACCAGTAAATCCAGCTCTAAAGCATTCCACATTTCCCCTTTTCCCTCTGAAACCATATACATGCAGTCAATAAAATAGGATTGTTTTGTTTTGTTTTTGGCAGCGGAGTAGAGTGAGGTTTGTTTTACTTTGGTTTGGTTTGATTTTTCTTTTCTTTTTTTTTAAGATTTACTTATTTTATGTGTATGAGTGCTCTGTCTTATATATGTACCAGAAGAGGGAATCAGATCCCATTACAGATGGTTGTGAGCCACCATGTGGATGCTAGGATTTGAACTCAGAACCTCTGGGAAAGCAACCAATCCTCTTAATCACTGAGCCATCTCTCTAGCCGCTGGTTTGATTTTTCGTTTTGTTTGTTTGTTTTTTGAGTTGTCTCTAGCTTTGGTGCCTGTCTTGGAACTAGCTCTTATAGACCAGGCTGTCCTCGAACTCACAGAGATCGCCTGCCTCTGCCTCCCAAGTGCTGGGATTAAAGGCGTGCGCCACCACCGCCCAGCAACCTGGTTTGATCTTTTTTTTTCAAGGCAGAGTTTCTCTGTGTAGCTTTAACTCTTCTAGAACTCACTCTTTAGACCAGGATGGCCTCAGACTCACAGGGATCCACCTGCCTCTGCCTCCCAAGTGCTGTGATTAAAGGTGTGCCCCACCATACCCAGCGAATAATATAGTATTTTAAAGCTAAGAAAAGGCCTGCGAGGTGGCTCAGTGGGTAAATGCACTTCCTGCCAAGTCTGACCATCCTGAGTTTGATCCTCAAGGCATACATAGTGGAAGGAGGGAACCCACTCTCCCAGGTTGCCCTTTGACCTACACACATTAATGAATAAGTAAATGAGTTTTTGTTTTTTTATTTAAATTGAAATAAGTTTATGTGGTGTCATGTATCTGTGATCTCAGCACCTGGAAGACTAAGGTATGTAGCTCTTAAGTCCAAGGCCTACCTGGGCTACATAGATCCTGGCTCACAAAATATATATGTTTGAAAAGCCAAATAGAACCAGGCATGGTGATACTTGACTACAATCTATCTAAGTACTTGGGAGGCAGGAATTTGAGACCATACAGGACAACATGAGACTATCTTCAAAGAAACCCAACTCATCCCTTAAAAAATAAATACATACCAGCAAAATGAGTTAGCAGGTAAAAGTGCTAGTCATATAGCCCTGACAACCTGAGTTTGATCTCTGGAACCCACATTTAAAAAGCCAGAGCCAGTCCTGGAGAGATGACTTGGCAGTTACAAGCTGTTCTTTCAAAGAATGAGGTTCAGTTCCCAGTACCCAAATGACTTACAGTGAACTTTTACTTCAGTCCTAGGGCAACCCAACACCCTCTTCTTCTGGCCTCTGCCAGTACCATCCGTGTACATAATACACAGATATACATGCAGGCAAAACACTCATACACACACACACAAATGATTTAAAATTTAAAGCCAGATTGAATAGTTCAAGTCTATAGTCCCAGTCTCAGCACTCATAGCAAGTTGCAAAGTAGAGACAAGAATCAGCCAGAAGTCCACATATGCAGTACAAGGGCAGAAATACTAAGACAAACTCCCTCAAAAAACCAACTCCAAAAATGTCCTCTGACCTCCCCTTCCCCATCATTATATCATTATATGTGCTTGTTACAGACACACAAAAGAAATTAAAAGCCCAGGATATTAACCTATACCTTAATATAACTAATAGATTAATCAAGAAACAAGATTCTACAGTAGGTTCAATAAGTGATAGACCACAGTACTCAGTGGACAGGAAAAGGGTCTGTTAACAGCAGCGGGGGGGATGAGTAAAGATTAGAATGTGGTTTCAGGATTGGGAAAAAGTTTCCAAGTAACAGATAACTTGCTGAAGTCTATAAATGAAATCATTTCTCCTTGCTTTAAAATGCTTCTGTCCCCTTATACGTAACACAGATAGTCCCCAATCCCAATACCATTGTGTGTTTGCAGATTTTGAATATAATGAAGAACCCTGAAATATGCTTTTTCCTCTTGATGGTACTTTATTTACTGTGGGTTTGTTTGTTCTTGGTGGAGTGGGTGTTCCTAGGGAGTTAATGAATAATCGTTTTTTCGAAGACAGAGAAGAATTCCATTTTTGTGTCCTACTCGTACATTGATGGTGACGAAGGAGGTAATGATCTCACAGGTTCCTCTGAAGAAAGTTAAAGGATACAGTCTACTTAAGTGCCATTCTTCAAAAATAACATTTAGGATATTCTTTTCCCTCTCACCAGTTTCTAGCTGACTTGAATCTGTAGCAGTGATTAGATCTTTTTTATACCTGAAAAGGATTGTTTTATGGGGGTTGGAAAGATCCCTTAGTGGTTAAGAGCCCATACTGCTTATCCAAAGGGTCTATGAGTTCAGTTTCCAACACCCATATCAGATGGTTCACAACTGCTTGTACTGGCTCTCCAGGGGTATTTCAACTTGGACACCTGCACTCAGCATGCACAGATGTCATGCATAAGTATAGTTTAAAAATACAATAAAGGTTGTCCTAATTGATGCCTGCTTTGTTTGCATGAGTTGCTACTGCTTTACCCAGAACTCTTCTTGTCCTTGTTGCCTGTAAGCCACACTAATGATATTTTTTTTTCACATCTAGGTATCCTTGCTAGAGTACCGCAAACGGAAACAAGAAGCCAAGGAGAATTCTGGTGGGGGAAGTGACTCTTCACAGAGCAAAAGCAAGTCTGCAGGAGCTGGGCAAGGCAGCAGTAACTCTGTTTCTGACGCTGCCGCCCATGGTGTGCAGGGATCCTCAGCCCGAACCCCCTCATCCCCTCACAAAAAATTCTCCCCATCTCATTCCTCTACATCACATTTGGAGGCGGTAAGCCCATCAGATTCCAGGGGCACTTCTTCCTCTCACTGCAGACCTCAAGAAAACATCAGCAGTAGGTGGTAAGTTTATATTTAATTAGCTTTATAATTAAATTCAGGTAGGAAATGTTCATTCGGATTGTTCCCAGTTTTACCTAAAATGTAACTTAACTTGAAACAGACAACAAATTTGTTCTCTGTCCTGTTCAGCTAGTTAGTATAGGCCACATCATCACCCTTCAGAGTCTCACCAGACAGTGTGTAGTTGTGGCTACCTATAAGCAATTTTATTACAGGGTTCCGTGTCCTCATTGTATGAAAAGTAAACAGTCCAGCCAAGTATGTATACATACATGCATATGGAGGTCAGAGGACTTCCAGGAATCAGTTCTTTCTTGCCAACTCCAAGTTCCTCTAATTCCAGAAGAACTCTGTCCCATGTAGATAACATATGCAGAGCAATAAGATACTCTGAAAGAACTTCTCTGGTTTAGGAAATAACAAAGAAAACAAACTAAGTAGTACTGATAACAAGTTCTGGGTATTGGATGAATTAGGAATTCAGGTTAGTTTTGTTTTCCTTTGTAATTTTTTGAGGCAAGGGCTCACTCTGTAGCCCAAACTGGCCTTGAACTCTTTGATCCACCTGCCTTTACTTGCTGGGTGCTGGGATTATAAATATGTGTTACAGTAACCCAACTAGGGGTACTCATATTTTTCCTTTTTTCAGAGGTGGGATGGAGGAGGATACATTGACGTGGTACATTTGGAGGCCCACAGTCAACACTGGGTGCCTGCCTCTACCACTTCCCACCTTATCTTATAAGACAGGATCTCTCATTGAACTTGGAGTTCGCTGATTAAGCCATGAGCTCCAGGAATCCTCAAGTATGGGAATCTTGAAATGAAGAAATGAGCATGGGAAAGAAGAGACAAAGTTTCAAATTATTATATTCATTAGCCTAAGAATTCTATATTAAATTACGATATATGTTTCAGGAACACAGCTTCTCGAGGAGAAAATTTCAGATATGAAACAGTACTGTGGCAAGCCAGATGGTGGCGCATACCTTTGAGACAGAAGCAGGAGGATTTTCTGAGTTCAAGGCCAGCCTCGTCTACAAGCCAGGCCAATGAGGCTGTCTCAAAAGAAAAGAGAGAGGCTTTACTACACCATCTTTGTCATGGTTACTAGTTTCAGACTCTTGGCTCTTAACTCTGAAACCTATACCTTTGCAGGATGGTTCCAACATCAGTTGAGCGACTCCGAGAAGGAGGAAGCATCCCTAAAGTTCTCCGAAGCAGTGTGAGAGTGGCCCAAAAGGGAGAGCCCTCTCCCACATGGGAGAGTAACATCACAGAGAAAGAGTCAGGTGAGCAAAGGTCTACAGTTCACAACTGCTGGGATAAAGGGAGTCCATTTCTGACATGCTTAAGCTCTATGCTAGTTTTCAGCTCAGTCTTGCTCTTTGAGTTACAATATTCATGAGATCTAGCATTGCCTGCTCTCTGTCTGCTCTTTTCCCAAGGGATACTTTTCTGTAACTCTCATCTCTCCAAAGTTCCAGAACTCCACCTCCATGAAGGATGAAGAGAAAGAAGGAGACAAGAATAAGATGAGGCATTTAAAATTTAGCGCATAATTAACCACTTACTTTGCCCTCCTGACATACTGCGCTCATTTTTATCACAGAGGGCAGCATGTGTTGATAACATTTGATGATTTGACTGGATGATGTCTATATGTATTCTGAGAAATTAAAATTGATTTTTATAATGCATTCCAGACCCTGCAGATGGAGAAGGCCCAGAACCGTTGAGCTCAGCACTCTCTAAAGGAGCAACTGTTTACAGCCCTTCCAGATACAGCTACCAGGTAAATCAAGAGACTGCTGAGCTCTAGGGACAGGGCTACCTATGGAACTTATTAGATGCTATATTCCTAGTCAAGATACACTGTCAGCTGCTGACATCTCATGGTGTCAGCAAGTTCTGTAAGACAGCCATTTGACAACAGTTGATATCCTTTAAAAAACATTTTCAGGGGGCTAGTAAGATAGCTCAGTGGGTAAGGGCACTTGTGATCAAACCTCATGGCCTAAGTTTAATTCCCAGAACCCACACAGTGTAAGGAAAGAATGGACTGCTTCTTTTTGACCTATGACTTCCGTATTAGTGTTGTAGCACATACACTTAAACCACTTTTTAATGCAAAGAATAAAAATAGAATGTTGTAGCCAGATGGCTACACCTTTAATTCCAGCACTTGGGAGGCAGAGACAGATGAATCTGTAAGTTTGTAGCCAGCCTAGTCCACAGCATGAGTTCTAGAACAGCCAGGGTTACACAGAGAAACCCTGTCTCAAAAAACCAAAATGATAATAATAAAATAAAACTAGAATGTTGTAAACACTACCCACTGTTGACGGGATTGTGTTGTTTTCTTTTGCTTTCCTCTCTACTCGTCGAAGCTCCTGCAGTGTGACAGTCCACGGACAGAATCACAAAGCCTCCTTCAGCAGAGTTCGTCCCCCTTCAGAGGACATCCCACCCAGTCTCCAGGATACAGTTATCGAACTACTGCACTGAGACCTGGAAACCCCCCCTCTCATGGTTCTTCAGAATCATCCCTTTCTTCCGCATCCTACCCTAGCCCTGCCCACCCTGTGTCCACAGACTCATTGGCCCCATTTACGGGGACTGCAGGGTATTACAGCAGCCAGCCGCATTCTGGAAACAGCACTGGCAGCAATCTTCCGAGGAGGAGCTGTTCTTCGAGTGCTGCTAGCCCTACCCCACAGGGCCCCTCAGACTCACCAACCTCAGACTCGGTTTCTCAGCCCAGCACAGGAACACTGAGTTCCACCTCCTTTCCTCAGAACTCTAGGTCATCATTGCCATCAGACTTACGGACTATCAGTCTGCCCAGTGCTGGGCAGTCAGCTGCCTACCAGGCCTCCAGGGTATCTGCGGTTTCCAATTCACAGCACTACCCACATCGTGGGAGTGGGGGTGTACACCAGTACCGACTCCAGCCACTGCAAGGGTCAGGAGTCAAGACTCAGACAGGACTTTCCTAGGGCTTCTGGATATGGGCAAACTGAACTTGATGAGCCCATAGCTGCTTCCTTCCAGCTGCCTCTGGAACCAAGGCCGAGCATATTGCTGGGGAAGAGGGGTACAAGGTGCCAGAGGAATGGGTCTGGTCAGCAAGAAATAAGACTTGTGGTCGTGACTGGCCTCCGGCCCTGGAGAAAGATGTAAATCTTGTCTGAAGCAGAGACTATAAAGAAGTTTCTCCCTGCTGTAAGGGTACATTGTTAACAAGCAAATGGTGTTCCGATTAGTAACGGTTCTAAGTGCAATGACTTGTGTTGAAGCCTATGTCTCCCATCCTTGCCTGTAGCCTGTAGTCACTTGTGCAGTAAGGACATCTTTTTCAATAAAAAAAAACAAAACTTTTTTTTCTTTTCAAAAGAAAAAAGTGGAAAGAGCCAATCTCAAAGCCCCAAGCCATCTGAGTAGTGTTAGGGTTTTATGCACTTAAGGAAAAAAAAAAGGTAGGTATGTAGTTTGCTGTGAGACAACCATTCCAAGAGCAGGTGCATGGTCAAGGTGTGTCCACCAGGAGTACTCCCTACCTTTGTCTTAAAGGAAGTGGGCAGAGAGGAATGCTTGCCACCTACTCTGAGGCTTGCCTGGCTCTCTAAGAAGAGCTAGTGGTCAGCTTTTGGTTATTTGGGAGCAGATTGGGGTGGGTTGGGCCCCAGCTGTTACCATCTCACTCCTTCCCTCATTTCAGTGGCTTAATAATAAATAGCCCAGTGAAGTCAGCAGAGAAGGAGGTGGTCCCGTTTAGGAAGGATCCAGTGGTCTGGGGAACCTTCGAATTTTAATTTTCCTATTCCCAGTTAATCAGGAGTTGCCGTCCTAAAAGCAGGACTGCTCCATGACTGAGAAGCATGCACTCATGACTGCAGGGTAAGAATGGGGCAGATAGGGTTGTAGAGTGGCACCGACAGGGCTGTGATTGTGTGTGGGGTCTGCCCCACATTTCTTTAGGGGATGCTTACATGAGAGTGGGCAGGTGAGAGTTAACAAATCACCCATACCCCTAACACTGTTCTGGATGAGAGACAAGAGCAGACTGGCTTCTCCCCATCAGTGCATTGTGCCTGCTGTACACCCCTGGAGGAGCCTAGAGCCAGCCCAGGTGGGGTACACAATCTTTTTAAATTCCATATGGTTGCCAGCTTATTTCTTTCACTTGTTTACTGTAATACCTGGCGTGTTTTTATTTATCTAATTTTGTATTCAGCTATAACCTTGGTAGGGTAGCGAGTGTATGACAGTGTGATCCCTGGTGCTGCAGTGGACCGTACTTCTTTTGGACAAGATATACTGTGAGTCTCCCTCCTTACCTCTAATCTGTTTTCTTTCCCATTCCCCAGCCTCTTTCATCTCCTTCTTTTCTACCCTGACCTACAACTATCATATGCACAGTCTTCTCTCTTTGTGTGTGACTGTTACAAAATTTCACTTTTCAAAATTGAAATCAGGTGTTTGCTCAAATGAGGGGAGATTTTTCTGTTGTGGTTTTAGTTTTTTGTTTTTAATGCTGAACCATCAGCATAGTACTTTTTCTTTTTTTTTTTTCCTTTTTTTTTCTGTTTTGTTTTCCCCCACAAACCCATCAGTCTGGGAGAGCATTGGGAGTGGAAATCATGTTGCCTGGGATGCCGGTTTCTTTGTATATTATATAAAACGTATGTAAATGTCTCTCCATTTGGGCTGGGGTTTGCATTCTCCCCTTGGCTTTTAGCCAAGGGGAGAGGCCAGCGGGCAGGCGGCCCTCACCCTGCCTGGCACGTGCAGAGACCCCAGCCACTTTGTGTGGGCAGGGTGCTGTCAAGACCAGACCTCTGGGGGGGAGGGGGGAGGGGGGACTCTTGGAAGGGAAGGAGCATTGCTTCTTCCTCAAGTGGAGTGTTTACACCTTGCTGTAACATTTGAACTTTCACAAGAGATGTAATAATTTTGATAATAAAATTCTTAACCATAATCATTATAATGTTGAGAATATGTTTGTTCAGTTCTGGAACATCACTTTCCCTGATTTTAACCTTACCTGACCAAGTGCAAAGTGGTCCCATGTCCAAAAGAGTTGCTCTTAGTGCATTTCAGCCAGCAGTCCTAATTCGTCTTCCTCGGGCCATCTGGGATTGGTATCAGGCCAATGTTAATGAAATCTACAGTATTAGAACATACCTTTGGAAGCTGACTTGACTTGGAACAGTGTCCTGTCATTTACTCAGCAGTTAGTAAATGGTGTCACTTATTTAAAGGCAATACTAGACATTATTTGTGGTACGAAGTGTATTGTGCTGATAAAATGGATATGGGTCTGAAAAAGCAGGGTCTTTTCTCTCCTACTTATGTTCTAGTAAACCAGTGTGTAATTTTAATATTTAGTATTATGTTATTGCATTGTTTTTCATGATGGCACCAAAAGCATAAAAACGGAAGCCCCTGTCCTTTCCAAATCCCAACAACAGCTTTGGAAACCCAAGTAGACAAACCTCTTGTCACTGTCAGCAGTCCAAGACACTGACTCCAGAAGCATCCACAATAATCTTAGAAGAGCACCTCAGGAAAACAAGCAGTCACACATTGCTACTGAGCCTGCAATGGTAAGTGTCGAAGCCAGTAAGCAGCAGATGGAACTGATTGTGAAGCAGCTCTACTACCTTGATCTGCCTAAGGTCAGTACTCTGGTTAGACAAGGCATGCATTCAGCTGGTTCCTAGCTCTGGTGTCAGCAAAGTTGGGATCCTCTAAAGCCCTTGCATGTGGCATATATCCCAGGACAGCTATGAATGTGGCCCAATACACTCGTAAACCACAGCATCATGCTGCAGTGTCAAGAGGTGGATACCTCTGAAAAAAACAAGGTAATTTGAGTTATAAACTTTTTCACCATTACAAAGGAAAACACCTCAGTGCTATTGTTTTCAGGACAGGTGTCTAGAGTGGTTGAAAGACTGGTTTGTTTAATCAGGAAAATCTCCTAGGAGTTAGTTGACACTGAAACCAAGACATTAGTGATGATGAGGGAGTCATTGGATGGTGCTGGTTATTTCAGGAAGTGTAAGCTCCATTAGGAAAACCTTGGTTGAGATAGAACTGGGAAAGGGTTAACTGAAGATCCAGAGATAGGATGGAGGAGATGGGGTGAATCATGCTGTCTGCTACTTTACTCAGCTCTTTAGAGCTGTATAAAAGCAACTGTAGACAGTATGTGACCCAGCTCCAGAAAAGGGCACTTCAGAAGAGGTAGGTGGGAGGTTAGATAATGGCCTGTAGGCTGTAATTTGTGGTCTTGAAATGTAAAGGTCTTTAAAGTGTCCACATTATAAGCGATGTGGAGAATTTGCAAGGTTTCAAGCAGAAAAGCAGTGTACTATATGGTTGCTGTTTTCTTAAAATACTCTTAAGATTGTCTTGATCTTGTTGAGGGAAAAATTAATAGAAACTTGAGAAAACAAAGAGTGTGGTGGTGTTGTGATGGCTATTCTTGGTAGTCAACTTGACTACATCTGGAATTAACTGAAGTATAAAAATGGAAGGCATACCTGTGAGAGATTTTTTGTTTAATTTGAAGTAGGAAGATCCACTTCTAATATAGATCTTTCATATAAGAGGGCATGCCTTTAATGCTGATCTTTTGAGCTGGGAAAAGACATGCCTTTAATCTAGAATTAGAGGCAAGTAGACACACCTTCAATCTGAGCCACATAGTCTGCTGGGATACTATATAAGGACCTGGAAGAAGGAAGCTTTTGTTCTTTGCTTGCTTGCTCTCACCTCACTAGCAAGTCCATTTCTTCATTGTCATTGGAGCCTACTTCAAGATTCCAGTGTATACTAAAGATCCACTGAAACATTCAGCTTTGTGAATTGAGCAACTATTGAATTCTTGGAGCTTGCATTCACACCTAGTCATTGTTGTATTAACTGGACAACAGCCTGTAAGTTAATCTAATAACTCCCCTATATAAATATAGATTCAATCTTTAAGTTCTGTTACTCTAGAAAATCTTGATTATTAATACAGCAATCTTCTGTTAAATGGCAATGCTGGAGCTGAAAAGAAGCTGGAATCAGGTATGTTTTACAGTTACACAGCAGAATTTGGCAGTGGGTTTGGTTGGCAGAAGTTTGCTCAGTATCTCTAACCAATTGTGTTTTGCTGAGTGTGTAAGGTATCAAACGTGGTGTACTTGCTGGTTTTGTGTGTCAACTTGGCACAAACTAGAGTCATCAGAGAGGAAGTCCTCAGTTGAGGAAATATCTCCATGAGATCCAGCTGTCAGGCATTTTCTCAATTAGTGATCAGTTAGGGAGGGTCCAGTCCATGGTGACTGATGCTATACCTGAGCTGGTGATCCTGGTTCTTGAAGAGTAGGCTAAGCATGCCAATAAGCAGCACCTCTCTGTGGCCTCTGCATCAACTCCTACCTCCAAGATCTTGTTCTGTTTGTCCCTGACCTGACTCCTTTAAGTCAAATAAACCTTTCCTTCCCAACTTGCTTTTGGTTCATGGTGGATTGTTTGCTTGTTTGTTTTGATTTTTCAAAACGAGGTTTTTCTGTGTGACACCCTGGCTATCCCGAATCTCATTTTGTAGACAAGGCTGGCCTCAAACTCACAGAGATGCACCTGCCTCTGCCTCCTGAGTGCTGAGATTAAAGACCTGCGCCACCACCACCCAGCTGGTCATGGTGTTTTGTTGCAGCAATAGAAACCCTAAGACTCATGATAACAGTATCGTTAGTAAAGTAAAGCACTCAGAAAGTAAGGGTGGTGGTTTGAAAGAAAATGGCCCCAAAAAGGAGTGTAGCACTATTAGGAGGTGTGGCCTTGATGGAGTAGGTATGGTCTTAGAGATCTCACTGTGGAGGTGGGCTTTGAAGTCTCATATGCTCAAGCCATGCCCAATGTCTCAGACTACTTCCTGTTGCCTACAAGATGTAAGACTCTCAGCTACTTCTCCAGCACTATGTCTGCCTGCACACCATCATGTCTTACTGTGATGATAATGGACTGAACCTCTGAACTGTAAGCCACCCCAATTAAATGTTTTCCTTTATAAGAGTTACTGTGGTCATGGAGTCTCTAAAGAGCAATAGAAACCCTAAGACAGAAGTTGGTACCAGAGATTAGGGTATTGCTGTGATAGGCCTGACTTGATTTTATTTATAAGAATTTGGATTTGGGGAATTTGGGTTAGAAAGCAGTGGGATGCTTTAAACACTGCTTAATGGGCCTTACCAGTAGGAGCACAGAAGACAGAAGTGCTTAGCTTGATTTGAACTCCGGAGGAATGGCTCAAAATGTTTCAGAGCAAAATTTTAGTATGTTACCTAGAAATCATTCTTGTGATATTTTGGGGAAGAATATGGCTGCTTTTTGCCTGAGAAGTTTGCCTGAGGCTAAAGTGAAGAGGTTTTGGTGGGGGTTTTTTTTTGTTTGTTTGTTTTTTGTTGTTGTTTTGTTTTGTTTTGTTTTTTTGGATTAATTCCCTTAGTAGAGGAATCCTCAAAATAGCCTAGTATAATAGTGTTAACTTTAATGAAAATACATAATGAAAAGGAGCAAGCTAAAGAAGAAAAATATTTGAGGAGAAAGGGAGCACAAGTGATGTGGAATTTCCCTCTATATGCTATGAATGCTTTATTACCATTGCTTAATAAAGATACTGCTTTGGCCTATATCAGGGCAGAATATAACTAGGCTGGAAGAGATAGTGAGAGAGAGTAGGTTGAATCAGGGAGACACTGTGTATCTGCCAAAGGAGAAGGATGCCGGAATCTTACAGTAGGCCACAGCCTTGTGATACACAGATTAATAAAAATAGCTTAAGACGTAAGAGCTAGCTAGGAATACGCCTAAGCTATTAGCCAAACAATGTTGTAATTAATAGAGTTTTGGTGTAATTATTTGGGTCTGGGTGGCTGGGAAACCAACACGCTGGCTCCATTTACACACCAGAAAATGTAATGGAACTAAGTCCTGTATTCAAGGAGATAAAGATAAGCAATGAAATAAAGGGAATGTAGACCTCAGCGTAAGAGCCCAACCACCTAAGATTCTAACTAGTGAAAAGGAATTAAAAGCTTAGCACCAGGTGTGATGGTGCATGCCTTTAATTCCAGCACTCAGAAGACAGAGATGGATCTCTGAATTTGAGGCCAGCCTGTTCTCCAGAACAAGTCCCAGAACAGCCAAGCTTAGGCAGTGAAGGAAACCATCAAAACCAGAAAGTTGGTAAATATGTGAATGAACAAGCGGGTCATGTTCCAGCCCCAATAAGCAGCAAAACTTGGCAGGTTTGGCCACAGGTTCTGGAGTTAAGGATAGAAGAAAGGAGTTATGGAATTTGCCTCTATCACTAAGGAAAGCCTCTGAGACCAGGCCTGTGTCTGTGGTAACCCTAAATGTAGGTCTAGAGAGGACATTGTGTAAAGCTGTTAAGTTGAAGCCTGTATTAACCTTGGAGACCCCAAGATATTGGAGATGCCAGAGTTATGGAATACCTGCTGAGGAGAGCTACTAACGGGGAGTGGAACCAGCCCAAGAGAAAGAAGTGTGAAGTGTGTTGCCATCAACAAATCTAATGATGTTTGAGATCCGAAGAGTAGTCTTGTTTGTTTGTTTTTTAAGGTTTTTTGTTGTTGTTGTTGTTTGGTTGGTTGGGTTTTTGTTTTGTTTTGTTTTTTTGTTTTTTTAGGCAAGGTTTCTCTGTAGCTTTGGAGCCTGTCCTGGAACTCACTCTGTCGCCCAGGATGGCCTCGAACTCACAGAGATCCGCCTGCCTCTGCCTCCCGAGTGCTGGGATTAAAGGTGTGTGCCACCACCACCTGGCACTGAAGAGCATTTTGACATCAGACAAGGAGATGCAGAATTTGGAGTTTGTACAGCTGGTTTTTGGTCTTGTTTTGGGCCAGTATTTCCTCACTATGCTCCCTTCTCTACTTTGGGAATGGTAATGTATATTCTGTG